GGTGGGGAGCTTGGGTGCGTCTGCTACTTTTTGACAACTTCATGTGGTAGTGTATTTTAAATAGCAGCCCCACCAAAACACCAAGCTACTTTTTGACAACTTCATGTGGTAGTCTATTTAAATAGAAGCCCCACCAAAACACCAAGCTACTTTTTGACAACTTCATGTGGTAGTCTATTTAAATAGAAGCCCCACCGAAACACCAATCAATCACCTTGTTCTTAACACTAACATGCGTGCTTTGCCATCGAGGGAATCTATGCTGGTGATTTGCTTGCAGTTCGGGCCTTCTTGGTTGGATCAAGAAGTATGAAAGGGCTTCACATCCCGAAGCCACAAATCCAAACCACCAATCAGGGTTGCCTGAACAAAGGGGCGTGCCTTTTTTGGAGGAAGGTTTGGCGGGAGCTTTTGTTTTGGTGTTTGGCTCTTCAAAACCCACATCACAAAGGGTACCACAAAAGACACACACACACACGTACACAAATTAACTGAGCAGCAATCTCATACTCATTCTGGCAACTCAGCAGGTTCCAACGACAAAGCAACATGTCAATGGGCACGGAAACAGAGGAAACAAACGGGTTTGTTATTCTTGAGGGCGTCCTATTCTTGAGTGATCTCAAAATTTAAAAACAAAAGAAGGACAACCATCATTTGTTGGCCTCCAATTTGAAAATCCTACCCCAATGCCACTGAGCAGGGAGGTCATATTCTGATCCAAAGAACACCTCCAGATATGACTCCTCCAATTCTACTGCGTTCTTGGCTACATAAGGTACCATTGAAGCTCAGCCATCTGAGAACACGACAGCTGTCAGCTAAACAGCATGTAGTGGAGTTGCCATATTCACTCAGTTGTCCAAAGGAGCTGGAAAGAAAAGTTAAACTTTGAGACAGCGACTAAACACGCACCAAAATGACGAAACAAAAGGTCAAACAAGTCGATCCGCCTTGGGCCAGGTAAGTAAGGTTGGAGCATCCGCGGTGCTGACTTTGGCGACCCTACTCGGATGCAAAGGCTCGATTGGAGTTCAGACCATCTCTAAACTGAACTGCTTTGTGCTGAACAAATGGGGGGAGTTGACCGGTGAATGCGTTCGAGGGGACAAACCAATCAACAACTCTGCATGCTAAACAGGGGAGGGGTCTGGAACGATTTAACAAACCACTTTTGATTCCGTTTGGATGAATCAACCAAAAATGATGGGCTTTTGATCTCAGAGTCCACGAACTCCTAAGGGACCCTTACTATATCCCACTCGGAACTGCTCGTTCTACTTTTCGTGGCGCTTGCACGTTGTCGTCTCACCTGTCTAGTGGATCCCCATGGGAAGAAAAGCCCAGACCTCCAGTGGATTTTCAGGAAGAAAGGACTTGGCCTTTGGGTTCTTTCATTTAGACGGGAAACCCAGGAATGCAAGGAAACAAGAGCACCCCTGGAGGTCTGGGAAAGGTGGCTTGGTGGAGGGACTTTGAAAGTTTAAAGAGACTTATCGCAAGGGAAAGTGCAAAATCTGCAGGCAACTTCGCTGCAATCAAAAACCAATATTTGCGGGTTAGGGGACACTCCTTAATAACAGGTTTCAACTATGCCTCAAACGCTTCCCCGTTGCACAATTCAAAAGATGAACTTTACCAAACAAAACCAAGGTGTCCCACCTTAAGCGTTCTCTCACAAAGACAGACCCCGCACCCACATGGAATCAGGTGGACAAATCTATCGCTGCCTCAACTGGGTAACAAATAAAATCCGTCGACAACTTGCCTGGAGGTAGACCGCCATCGCCGCCATTCAAAAGGCAGAAGTCTGCAAAGTTGCAGGGCGATGCGGGTGGCGATCTTGCAGCTTTTCGGTTCCGAAGGCGTGGATGTGGATCGATTTGTTTCGAGAGTTCTGTGGTGGCTTTGAGCAAAGGAAGCGTCTGTTTCCAGGCTTTTGACTTCTTGTCTCCACCAAACCTGAAATCTGGCACCTGCGCTAAAGCCAAAGGTGCAGGTCCACCAGCCAAAACTTGGTATGCAAAGCGTGCGCAAGTGAAGAACCCCCACACACGCGCACCCAAACACACAAAGCACACAAACACACACACACACAAACACACACACAGACACACACAAACACACAAACACACAAACACGCAAACATACACACACTCAAACACACAAAAACGCACGCACACAAACACACACAAAAATACACACAAACACACACACACACACACACACACACACACACACACACACACACACACACACACACACACACACACACACACACACACACACACACACACACACACACACACACACACACACACACACACACACACACACACACACACACACACACACACACACACACACACACACACACACACACACACACACACACACACACACACACACACACACACACACACACACACACACACACACACACACACACACACAAACACACACACACACACACACACACGCACGCACACACGCACGCACGCACGCACGCACGCACGCACACGCACGCACGCACGCACGCACGCACGCACGCACGCACGCACGCACGCACGCACGCACGCACGCACGCACGCACGCACGCACGCACGCACGCACGCACGCACGCACGCACGCACACACACACACAAAAAACACACACACACACAAACACAAAAAAAAAAAAAAACCACACACACAAACAAACAAACAAACAAACAAACAAACCAAACAAACCAACAAACAAACAAACAAACAAACAAACAAACAAACAAACAAACACACAAGCACACAAACAAACAAACAAACAAACAAACAAACAAACAAACAAACAAACAGACAAACACACACGCACACACAAACACACAAACACACAAGAACGCCCGTGCACAAACACACAAACACACACACACACAAACACACACAAACACACACAAACACACAACTACACAAACACAAAACACACACACACACAAAGACACAAAGACACAAATACACAAACAAACAAACAAACAAACAAACAAACAAACAAACAAACAAACAAACAAACAAACAAACACACAAACAAACAAACACACACACACACAATCACACAATCACACAATCTCACACACACAAACACACAAACACAAACACACAAAAACACAACTACACAAACACAGAAACACAGAAACACACAAGCACACAAACAATTGCGACTTCCCTCTTGGCCTTGGTTCTTTGAATTTCACGAAGGAGGGGATGATCGAATCTTTTTGTGGGATGCGTCTTAAATCCCACTAAATTCTAAGCTTTTCAAACACCTAAAAGTCTAAGGGTTGGCTGAGACCCGCCAAGATGCATAATCCGACAATATTCGACAATTCAACCTTGTGACTCAGTCGTCCCCACCAAAGCCCCTTTCCAACGAGTCGCTCGTGTTTCTGCCCGCGCTCTTCGCGGGCTGAGCTTCACTATCGAGTAAAGTAAACCACCCTCACAAACCGCCCGAGCATAACCTCAATTCCAGTCATGGAAGTGGATCGAAGGGTTTTGAAAGATGCAAGCCATCCTCTTTTCCAAGGGCCCAAAAGGTCCACACCCATTGTTGAAAATGAGAAATCTGGGGTTTCACCCGTGGTCTTTCATTGATAGAGACACTCCAGACCTGCTTTCAGGGTACATCTTACGGCGCACAGCGGACTAGGGACATGCACTTTGTGCAGCTTAGGCAGGGATCCCAACTGGATTATAAAGGATTTTGTTGCAAAGGGTGCACTCAACAAACAAACCCGATGTGCTTCGACTGGCTAACACCTCTCATTTACACTCCTGTCCGCGATGCAAGGTTTGTGCTTGGACGGCTGCCAACCAGTTAGTAAGTGCCAATTGATCAATACGGAAAACACCCAAAGGGTAAGGGCGGGTCTTACCTCCTGAGTTAATATCCTTAATGTACAAGCCCCCGAAATATGACTCACCTTACTTTCCTACAGGAAAATATGGAATCCACAAACCGATCCATGTTCGGTGTTCTTTTCCGCTGATTTGCAGCGGAGTACATCTGATTTCTCCGTGGGCAACGCCCAAACAAGTGGGTCAAAGCCCAAACATCATCTGCCAGCCATGGGCAACCAGGCTGTCATCTCTGAAGCTGATGGTTGCTCTCGCATGCGCGAGTTTGAGGGTACCATTTTGAACGGTTCGAATGAAGCCAAAAGGGGAAACACCTTTTTGAAGGTTTCCGTATAAGGGAGTGCTCGTTTCACCCCCAGGTGAGCTTGCTACAATTTGCGCAATCCATGAACCACTTAGGATCCCTGTGAAATCGCTGGCGCAATTCCAAATCAGTGCAGCATCTTTGGCATGCGAAGACTTGCCGGGCGGAATCCTGTCCTGGTCCTTTTGCAAAACATATCCGTCACACCTGTCTAAGGAAATCCGTGTATCAAAGCTAGGAACCTCTGCTGGTTGGTCGCATGATTAGTGGCCTTGTACAACAAGTATTATATGTTGTTTCAAGTTAGAGCGAAACAAATAATTCCCCTAAACGTCAAAGTCAAGAAATCCAACCTACTAGCAGCATGCATCTTAGGGCTGATGCAATGCAAAGTCTCATGGGTTGTTTCTTGGAGCCAGAAAGCAACACAGAAGCCTTGTTTTCCTGAACGACCTTTTAGATTTCCTGACACCAGTATCAAGCTTTCAAAATAGGAATCGGTCCTGAAAATGGTTGGTGTCCTTGTTCTTTTTGGCTTCCCTGTAAATATCAACCAACAGGGGGTCCACCATTCCCTTTAATCACAAGTCTACATGGACATTTGTAGAGCCCTCCCCAGTCCCATGGTACTTTGAGAGGTACTTTAACCCCCGTTTGACCCCTCAAAAGCCACCCTCACAGGGTACCAAGGAATTTGCAGGGGTGGTTTCGGACATTTCCCGTTAAACCTCCATGCAGAGGGCAATTTTGGCGTCACTTTAATGGACTCCAACAGACTCCAACACGGAAGAACCTGGCGCTACACAATTCATACCAGCTTTCTCGGTGACGGGCTGCATCGCCTCGGCTACTGCTGGTGGACTCCGAAGGCAGGGAGAAATCGGGGCGATGTTTTCCGGGGAGGGTTGAGTTTAGCTTTCATTCAAGAGGGATTTGAATGAGCGATGTGTAGTTCCCTTTGATGCTCCAAAGCCGGATCCCGAGGGTAGAATTCAGGGAACGCTTTTTTCAGGTTGGCTTGAAGGGCCACCAGAAGGAAAGCCTCCTTTTTTTTTTGGGGGGGTCCGATTTTGACATATGCCCCTAATGGACCACATACACAATTTGTCCACCCAAGCGTGGTTTGCTCACCGGTTCGGGCAATTCACATTCAGGGATACACACATTGGATCCAACATTTGGAGGGGACATAGCCCTCTGGTGGGGCTTTGAAGGTAAACTCGTGTGAGCCCAGCACTCAAGGATCCACTTTCCCACAAAGCGGACTGGATGCATCTCTAGAGGCCACGCCCATCTCTAGATGTGCCAGGCGCCCACAAATGCACCTAATGTATTGAATCGTGACCTTTCCCCATCCGTGAAACCCAGCTGGGCGAACTAAAATACTTGGACCTGATATATCCGGTCTCCAACAATGGTTCAGTGCACGAGCCCCTCCGGGAAGACTGTAAGTCCCGTCCTTTTTGAAGATGTGCTTTTCCGTGTTGGGTAGAAGCGTAAACTAAACAATGGACCCCAAAGGGCACTTTTTCGCGGAGGTCGCAAATCGAAATCTTTGGCGGCACAACTTTATCTGGGGGTGATGGTAGCCTAAATCAACCACCACCAAGATGGTCTACCAAAACAGGGTGATCAAGTTACCCCCCCCCCCCCGAAAAAATGATCAGTAGGTGAACCAGCTGGCGTTCGGGATTCAAGAGAGAACCAACAAGAAGCAACCATTTGGAGGGCTCCAACCCAAACCCGAATCATCATACCGTTGCTTTTCCTGTTGCTTGGTCTTGCCAATTCAACATTCCAAGCTCCTTCTTTAAAAAATGCGAAATTACCAAACAAGCAAACACAACCACTTCCCAACCGGTATATGTGGCCCCCCCCTCCCCTGTACATTCTTCGCAGCCCCCGACTAACTAAACCCGCAACCGCGTAAACCACGCAAGAAACACAAAACAGGAAGCATGAAACTGAGCACGTCTTGATTTGTATGTATTGCCCATTGCGCTGTTTATGGAAAGCCTTCATTGTCTCATGCAGTTGAAATGTCCGATCCTTCCCAACAGGGAAACACAAGTGCCCCTGTGCTCAGGCTCTTCCTGCAGCAAGCCCAACTGACCACCCACCCACCCCCCCCGAAATTCAGAAACATAGCACGGACAATAGCATATTTATGTCAGGTTGCCGAACTATGGTCAACTTGTTGGACTTCCCTCAAAGGCCCTAAGGCAGCACGAAATGTTTTGGCCACCCGGCTTGCGCGCAACGGACTAAGTTACACGTTTCCCATGGGCACTTATGTGGCCTCCATGGTTTTGGTGGGACACTTGGGCTCCCCTACTTTTTTGTTTTGGCTGCCTGAAATGAGACTCCTGGTCCTTTCGGTTGAACATGAGTGAGTCATGTCTCTCCCAAGCACGCCACAGACTGGACATTTCGACAACAAATCTCATGTACACAAAATAATATGAAACCAATCGCGGTCCTGTCCAACCTCAGCTCTTGCGCCAACAGAAATCTTCAGGTCCACAGTCGACGAACCTAAACTGGCCCGCTCAACAAATTGTGCGGCCAATCCTAGTCCATCCCTGATGGAAAACCACCAGACTGAGGGGATTGGTTCCGTTCGTAACCCAAGGTCAGGACTGAGGATTGCCTTTGAACAGCCCAGCTTAATTGTTTTTGGATATGCCCAGGCCTTTGGCCAATTTCTTGTTTCCTTCTTCCCTTGGAAACAATCCCTAAACAGGCACCTATAATTCCAAAGCAGTTCCAAACCTGGACCGGAAATCAGAATTGGATCCCTAAGTAAAGGACCTTCCTAGGCTCGTCATACCCCCCGAATCGGTGAGCTCACCATTGCACAGCCTTTTTGGTCCAGGCGCGGAATCTCCTCCTTGGGCCGCCCATAGCGAACCCGCCGCTTCACCGGTGGTGGGGTCTGCAGGGTCTGTGGACGCAGCAGGGCGCGGCGCACCGTGTAGAGCTGATCAGCATGGAATCTTCCTCCGACGAGTTGATCCCTTGAAAGCGATGATTCACAGCTACAAAAAGGGAGACACGGACAGGGCATGACCGTTCATGGTCCTTAGTTGCGGGCCCCTAGTTAGTCACTAGTTATTAGGCAGCGGTGGCTTCAACTGGCTCTGAATCAGAAAAGAAACAAGAGTAACGTGGGCAGCGTTTGCAAAATTGGGACTTGGTCCCCTAAGAAGGGGGAATAACCTGTTGGTTCCGTTTGAACAACATCAAACTGGGGTTAGAAAGAGCGAACCTCTCAAATTTGTGGATGTGGGTGGGTCCAGAACATGTTTTGGTCTCTTTTTGGCTTTCTGGTGGTTTCCAGAAGCGGGGTCTGACGCCAATCACACCGTCTGACCGATTTGTGACACCCATGTTTATACATACTGGGATCCCCTGCAAAAAGTCAACCTTTTTTGGGTTGAAAGGGACAACAAAGGAACGACAAAAAGTTAAACAGGCTGCTGCTAAGTCTGGCAGCGTCTATGTGATTTGCTGACCAGCCTGCAGGCTGTGGCCAGAGGAATTTCTTGAAGCCTGAAGCTTATGCACGGGAGAGTGAGAGAACCTTCACGGTAGTTTCGAACGAAACATTGGCCACAGATTCAGGAGCCAACCGTTTTGTGTCCTCCTCCAGTCCACGTGAAATCACAGGGATAAATATCATAGATCCCCCAAAGGGAACCCCCCGAGGATTAAGGAGCAAGGCTGAGGCCTCAGCAAGGTTGGTTCTGCGGAACAAGCCCTCAGGGCCTTGCTCGTTGGACCGTTTTGCTCGTGGGGAAACAGTGATTGCTTAAACGTCCTTCCTCGTGTATCTCTGCACGTGCCACAGGCCAATCACTCAGATACCCTGCAGTCAAGTTTCCCGGTTTCATACACGTTTGATTGAGCCTCACCAGGGCAACCTACCAGAGTTTGGGAAGAACCACTCCCTTGCAAATTGACGTGGAACCAAAAAAGCCCCCCCTCCCCCCCCCCCCACCGACAAAAAAGAAAAAGGAGTTTCAGCTTTGTATGTTTGTTGGGTTCTATGTTTGTCTGCAGTGGGTATTGCTTTTTACCCGGCAAGTAGTTGCGTCCGAGGCTCCTGTGGGGGATGGCTTCTTCTCATCCAACTTCTTACAGCCTGGGAGTCAAATGCCACTGTGGCTTCATGTCAGGTTTTTCCCCGAACTGGAAGCTCGGGGGTCTGCGCCCAAATAGGTTCGCAGGTGGTTCGGAGCGAAGCTTCCAAGGGGGTCCTCCCCATTCTGGGCCTTCTTGGCCTTGAAGCTCACAAGGCTCATGCACTGTCTTGAATGGGAAGCCATGGTATGCTCATACCGCCTACTTGAGAACAAAACCCAGGCCCTCGAGCAATGTGTGATGCGGAATCATTGCCCTCTTGAACACCGAGTTGAGGAACAACGCACCACCTCAACAGCCCCCATAACCCCCACCAACCCCTATCAGCCCTCACCACCCCCTCATCAACCCGCATCAACCCCCACTACTGACACCCATTAACCCTTGTCACATGTCACCCACCCATCCTAGCCATGTCTTCATTAGTTTAAACTACTGATTTAGAAGGACAGCTGAATACTGACAGAGTTAAAGCACCTTAAACAAGTATACTAAGTTGACAATAACGCCAAACAATATCAAAGAAGAGCCAAGGGGCGATACAAGACATGGCTGTGGAAAATCTACCTTTATGTGATACTCACGTGGGTCCCTTTGGTGGGCATCGTTTAGGTAGAAATGTATGTCCGCCAACCATTTCTGAGGGTGTTCGGCAGTAAATTGCGTAGCCATATTTGATCTCCCGAACAATGACGAGCACCAACCTGAAACCAGTGGAATCCATTTATTCTCAACCAAGCGAAAACCAGGAAGGACACTTGTTGCAAATCAAGTGAAAGCAACCAAAAGAAAACCAGTTCAAGGGCGCAGGGCGCGCCAATTTCCGGCCCAAAGGTGGGATTTGGAGTTGGCCATGAAAGGACAGCCTTGCATCTGGCCGAACATCTCTCCCACAGGTTCCAGAGTTGTGCCCTCAATGCAATTCCCCTCCTGAACTGAGTTTCTTTGCGTACTTCAACCACAATTTGCTCTGCAAATTGACAAAGAAGGCAAGACACGGCCGACGCCCTTTGTTTTCGGGCGATCATAAACAGGGCACCCTCCCACATGGGAGGTGTCAAACGGTCAACACCCCAACGTAGCGACTCAGCCCGCTCTCGGGATTCCGGCGGGTTGGGGCGCTCAGCGGTCGCCTGGGGGGCAGCGCCTGGTGGGCCTCAGATGGCCCCCGCCCAGTCCGGGGATTAAGAGGCTTCATAGGTTCTACCGGTTTCAACGGGTTTCACCTGTTTGCAGATTGGCAAGGAATTGTGTTCAAAGAGACAAGGCTGAAAAATCCGAGCCAGTTGCTCAACCCAGCTCACCCCCGATCACGTGGATTGGAGCTTAAACCTGGGGTGTTGACCAACTTCCTGTAGAATTTCCAGATCTCGCTTGACGTCATAAAGGAACTGGCAAGCGGCTTGCAAGCCTTGGTAGAAAGTGGTTTCTTAGACGGTTGAATGGGTTGCTGGATGGGATTTTCTTCCTCCCACTGGTTTGCTACAGGGAGTAACCAACCTAACTTTCGCCTCCTGCTGTCAACCATGTACGAGCATAATCAGGTTTGCATCGCCACTCAAACCCATTCTCAGTAGGGAACAGGCAGGTCAAGAGCATCCCACCTCCCAGCAAAAGTTACGATTCCTGAGTGCCCAGCCACAGCTTCCGACATCCTTAGCCGGC